ACTACGTGAGCACGGGACTAACAAAGGAGGATATTTCAAGGGAAATATACAATCCGTGCATTGTGCATGTGCGTGCGTGAGTGTTTAGGTTGTGTGGAAAATAACAAGCAGTGGCTTAATGTTTAAACAGCGGCGGTGGATCACCGGGTAGGGGGGGCCAATTGCATAATCGATCGAAACCAACTGCCGCAAAACCGGCAACAGCGCATCTGGGCATCTGGGGATCTCTACGTGGAGTATCGTTCGCACGGGCGTCGGGCGATAAATGTTTGAAATTATTTTGAATTGTGTAAATAAAATAATAATTGACATTGGTCAAATTACCGATGACTGAATAATTATTTTTGTGATAAATGACTCAGAATACAGCTTTTTAAAAGATGTGAAAACAGTATTAACTGTTTTGTAGGAATGTAAAAAAAAGTTCACAAGTCTATTTATTACATTGATTTAGTATGATATAATATATAATATATTTACATATTTAAAAAAATTAAAACGTTTGTGGATCATATAAATTATAYACCTAGTGGGAAACGGAGAAAGATATTTTAGTAACCACTAACAAATACTTATATCATACATGCATAAGACTAGTGAATTAATTGCCCTAATGGCTTAATCCAAATATGAGACTATCTATAAGATTGCAGATTTTTATATATTATAACTGCCACAAAACATATCTTTACTGCATTATATTTTTAAAATGTGATAAAAAAAACAAATGCAAATGCTTTATTAAATTCAATGTCCTGTCAATAACTGATAAAGAGAAAATTACGTATAGTAATCATAGCATAAAGAGAGCTTTACATTTTAGAAACATAAAAAWAAACAAGAAAAATAAGAAAAACTATTAATGCGAAACAAATGTTAAAAAAGTATTCAAGGTTGTTACAACAGTGTATAATTTTGTTGGACAGATGGGTGACACTGTTATAATTTTTCCATACAGATTTTTACTTTTCCTAAAATTGTCTTTCATACAATCGTAGTCCTGACAGTTACAAACACAAAATAAATCAGTGTAATCAATCGATCGGTTCTCAAGTGATGAGATAACATACATTRGATATTTAATTTTAGTCAATATGGATTATATTATATTTTCATAGAATTTCACAAAAATGCTGCGAAATACGCGACGTACAAAGTAATATAAAACACAGATCTATTTGGAGATAATCACTATCATTAAAAAATTAGAAAATTTGCCGATCTTAAATCACTATTTATACAATTTATAGATAATACTGTATGCTATTTAAAATATTTAATTTTTTTCTAAAAATGATCATAAAAATTTGTTGGCTATGTCAAAAAATTTGAAAATGTAGCACAAGATTTATCAAAAGTAGCTTTTAAAGCTATTTAAAAATATTAAAGTTAGGTATAACTAAGTTAAATATAGGTGCAATTTTTTTTTTATAAGAATTTAAAGTAACAAAATTTGTCAACATTACAAAAATTTGCAATTCCTTTTGTGCTTAAAAATGTTCAATTTCTATAGCTATGGCTTGTAAATAATTGTAATACAAAGTACCTTAAAGCAGTTTATTTTGAAACCAAAATATATAACTAAATATTCAAACGAAGAAWTAAAAATGTAATTATGTTATAGTGATTTAAAAACATCATTGATAGGTACTTGAAACAATTGTGTACCTACCAACGATATTTAATAAATATTTATATTAATTTTTAACTATTGCCTATTTGATCTTACAGAAAAACTATTCGACATAGGTACTTTTGTGGTAGGTATAAACTTAAAATAAAAACAATGTAATATGATATAAATATAATATCTAGATAGTCATCCTTAGGGCAGAAAAACAGAGACCATGGCCCGAACCCCACGTTCTTATCACAGGTGGACAGGCCCCGTTTTTATRGATACAATAAAAAAAAGGCCACGCTGACAAGAAAAAAATGTACGATTTATATTTTTTAAATATTCAAATGCCGTAATTTTTACTACTTAACTATATTAGATGATGTAAAATTAATTTATCGCATTTTAAACGAGTTAATGGTTAAAATTTAATTATCAAAACGGTAAAACGATTAAAAAAATCTTCAAAGCTCTCTGTCCTGAGAAAAAATCACAAAGAAATTTCTGACGATCTAAAATATAGTATTATTATTGATATGTTTGTTAATTTAAAAAAAAAAAGTAGGAAGGTTAATTTATAAGACATATTTATATTGTATTACTTTATTTATTGACTTATTTTAACAATATTATTATATTAAGTTTAAATAGGTATATGACATTATGACATGTTGTGTTATTAATTTATTTACTTATTCATATTTTGTTAAAGATATCTATGAGGCACTGGCCGAACAACGTTCCGAATACGGACCCTGGAAGATAACTGAACCGTTAATTTGTCATTATCTTCAAATTGCCATCATAAAAATATAAAGATTTGTCATTTATTTATTATTTTAATCTTTCGGCTCTTTCAAAGAAAATGACTTAATGATCACTATATTTGTGTTTTTCTTTTTAAATTTATTTTATATGGTGCATCATATATGTAATTGATGATGACAATTTTGAATTTAGGCCCCATAAATCGTATGTGATAGTATTATTAAGTTCAACCTTAGTTTTAATAAACTATTGATACGGCTTGCTTATAGTGATTGGCACAAACCGATAATATCGATGATAGTAATAATAATSGTTGCTGGAYGATACTTATTGCGAAAAGAGTTGTTCCATAAAAAAATGTTACACTAACATTAAAACGTGAATATAAAAAACGTATGTATTTAATGATTTTATATTACTGTAGTGCTATGGACTAGCGTCCTGCATTGTCTAGTTCACGGTTAACTAGGTACCAGCTGAACCAAGCTAGGGTAGGGCAATAAGGTAACATTAGGGAAATACAAAATCATGTGGGCATACGACTATAAAAGATCATCAATAGGTGTGCACAGGACGTGGGGTTATGCATCAGTACAAAAGTTCCAAGAACCAATAGCCGAATGTAATATCATAATATATATTTTTACATAATAATAATATAATTATCGAGGTTTGCAGCTGCACGGGATGCGCATTTTCCACTTATGTTGGCGAGTGGCATTTCCGTCAGTTTAAATGATTATACCACATCCGTGAGAACAGCGACAAGAGCAAGTAGACTATTGGGAGTAGAGGGTAGTACTACTAGTACTATATAAGAGACCCCGAAAMGGCCTGTATTCACACGCGACTTGACCAGACTAGCCAGAGCACCTTCACGGCAGTCTGTTCTTTAATTAATTAAATTGGACTTAGGAAAATTCTCGTAAAATAATATTCTGAACTTAGAAAATATTCGAGTCAAACAGAATTTATTCTAGCCATTCAGAATACTTGATTTGTTAAATAAAATTCAGTTTTTCATGTTTGCAAATAAATATATGTTTTGTTAAGGTAATAATACACCAATCTAACTAAATAGAATTCAACATTGTTCAAATTAACTCAAGAGTCACCTTCCAACATCATCCTTGACTACTGATACCTGTAGGCGATGTGATCACTACAGTAGCAACTTAATAAGCAGGCAGCGGATAAGAATGTAAGGTTATTGTATATTATTAAATAGGTAGGTATGTTAATCAATTTGAGATATAACTTGATAGTTAAGAAGTTACTTTAAAAAAAAGTATCTCATCATTATATAACTTACAATTCCCAAAAATTGTAAGTACACATCACAAATCACAATATAATTTTTGTACCCTTCATTGTGCAGACTATAATGTGTAACTGAATAAAGTATTCAGATTGTTTAATTTGTATAATGTTTCTATAAATGTTTATAGGAATATTATATAATTACTAATATATTGGCCATTGGGGTAATTTAAATTAAGTATTTTTCAAATATTATTATCCAAAACAATATTGTACCTACTTTGTCAATCATGTAATGTACACGAGTTCCATTAAATCATAAATCTGCATTAATAACTTATTATCAGTCAATTGTCCCTTCTCATTTTGATCATGCATTCCTTATCTGACATCAACATTAAAAAATCCAGAGGTACTAAGCTAATAAAAATAAAAAATAATTGAAGATATGCCTAACCTGAAGTCGAAATATTTACTAAAYGCTTATATAAGCACTTCATAAACATGGTACAATTTATACCAATATGATATTTTTTTTCTATAATTATCAATAAGTGATGTTTGCAGTCAAATAGCTAGAAAAATTAGTGCAAAGTTCCTTAATAGTTATTATTAAAGTTATTTAAAAGTATTTAGTCTGGGTCTATAGGTAATCAATATTTATTTATTTTTAAGTATTTTAAGTTAACATCCTGAAAAATTCATAGAAATTAATATATAGTCTAATGTTATAACTTGTTTTGAAATTAAAATATAAGAAAAACCTGCTTGGTGACTTAGTTTAAGTCTTACCTTAAAATTTGATCGAACATAAACGTACACATGCCAGTATAACATTTAATTAATAAGAACAAATTTCTAAATCTAGGATTCAAGCGTTTAGAGTTGAAATATAAGTGTACCAAAAACTATAATAGAATTTGATTTCAATTGTGTAAAGGATGTTCCCACTCTAAATAATCAAATGTATGTAATATAAGGAACACTTTTTAAGAATCGGATTGAATAAATTACAATAATTTAAGTAGCATTTTCACATTTTAATGGATCATTTAAAATAATAATACAAATAGGAAAAACCTAATTGAATTAAAAAATATGGAAATAATTATAATATATTGTGTAAATAAAAATGTTTACATACAAAGTATTCATTTAATATTTCACGAAAATCTGTTGAATACTCCTCATACTTATCTGATTAATATAGTTATTTCTTGACATWGGCAATTCTAGTTATTATACATTTGTATGATTTACAACATTTTTTTTTAATACAATTATTTTCAAAAAAAATAGTTATTGTWYGGAATTGAGGTTTTAATCATTTAAACGGGATGTGATATCTAAATAAAATAAATATAAATTAATAGGTAGTTAAAAATTAATATAAATGGCATCAATAATGTCGTTTTCTTCCATTTTGAGAGATAAGGGGGTATCGTTCCCAGAAATCGGTACTCCTTTAAATTGAAATCTGGTATTGAGCACAGGCATTTCCTAAAAATGTTAAAATTTTGAATTAATTAAAAATTTTTGTAATTTCAATCATTTGTTTAATGAAATAAAAAATTATGAAGAAAAAAAGAGTAAATTTGATTTTGTAAAATTAGTATCATATTATTTAAAAAATCAACTGTAGTTTACCCACTAAGAAAAAAATTTAAAAAGATTATACAGGTCATATTTATTCACTTATTAGAAAAAAATATTCATAATAATTTATATTTGACTAATTTCATTGACTTTATTAAATAATTTTTTTTAAATCTGTGTATGGCCTAATTTAAAAATAACTATTTTTTTTTTATGTATTAGATAAAAGTAATAATTAATCAATAAACAATATATATTTGCAAATTTATGGTCCAAATTTCGGATAGTAAAATTTAAATAAATATTAAATATGAAGTAGGTAGATAAAATGTACCCGATTCAATAACTGGAATTTTAATTTTAATGGTAACAATTGCAAATACTTTTTGTTAAATTATACTTACAAATGATTCACAATATGATGTCATTAGTTTTTCAAGTGGTGTCTTTATTCTGACTATAAATTGTATGTATGTGCCATCGGGTTGGTGAAGTTTGATATTAATTGGCCGAGAATTATCTTCGATCGGCGGTCGAGCATCCTATGAACAAAACATTTTTTAGTATTTGTTTGGGTTTAAAAATTAACTTAATTTAGATTTATACCAAATATCTAGTTCATAATAAAATGTTCAATTTTTTTAATTGACAAGGAACATCAAATGACACAAATAAGAGGCTACACTTTATTGAACTCAATCCAAATTTGATTAATACAAATCACTCGATTATCAATCAAACCATTACAATTTGTTAATCAACATAAGTCAGTTGATTTAGCATTCCAATTAAAATTAACATTAACGATAATCATAATTTTCAACAGTATTGGGATAGGCTCATAATATGGTAAGAAATTCTCAGATCGAGGTAAATAGTTGTATGAATATAGAYAATGAAAAATTTCACCACATCTGGTACTTTCAACTCAACGACCTTAAATGAGACAAGACTCCATGGGTGATGCCGTGATGGATACGCGGATCTGATATATGTAGCTTTTAAAATCTGCAATTGGTTACAAGACATAGGTGCTTAATTATGAAACAAACGATCATACGCGAGAATGAAATATAACACGTAGTCAACTATTTGGATTGAAAAGGACGCAGTGATACTAAATTTTTGGGAGAAAACAGAAAAGCACCAAGAAAAACGCGCTAATCGAGGAGGCAATTACAAGGTTAAGTTAGAAAGACATGATATTTAGATCAAACAATTTTATTTTTTTTCAGTAGTATGTAATTATATAACAAAGACAAGCTACGTTTTCAGTTATTTGAAATTATAATAATTGTATGATATATTATTTTGCCGAAATGTACGAATTAATCGTGTTAATACTTACAGTTATTTTAAGGATGGTCATCTTTGATTGATATTCCAAAAACAGACACGACTTTTACGTACAAAATACAACTGAGTAATGAACGACCATAGACAAGAGACAAACTATAGCAGACTATAGCGCTGAGACAGTGTTGCCAGATTAATAATGCCTCTGTAACGGGGTAATAATGGTTACAATAATTACCGTATCATACGTATAGTTACAGTAAATTTTTTTTTTTAWTTCTGGCTACTTGTTTAACTAATATTTATGATAATTTAATAATTATATATTTACAATAGGTAACATAACATCTGTATACCAACTATATCAGAATATAAATTTGAACCAACTCTATAGATATTTTTATGAACAGTAAAGACTTTTAGAATTTAATTAATTTAAAAGAAACCTTTTWWMCTAAATATAAAATGTACTTATTTAAAAATAACGGTATTTTCACAAATCACTTTCATAGATTAATAAAGGTACTAATCATTAATACCTAAATAATAACTAATAATCAATC